TAAAACTATTACTACTTTGGTTGGTGCAAATATGAGCAATTTCATTAGCCATAACGCCAAACGGTTCCCTTCCCCAAATCATGAGGGAAACGCTGGACGCACAGCCAATGAACAGCATTTCAGCGTATAAACATTATAAAAGGTGCTTAAATAAAAGAAGTAAGAGACTAAGACATGCAGAAGGAAAAACTTGGTGCACAAATGAGTTGCGATGTGAGAATCACAAGAAAATAGTTCAAACACAATAAGACACCAGAAAGTAGAATTCTGGAGTAAATCATAATCAAAATAAACTCACCTTTTTTCGATTACAAGAAATATAGCAGTAGAAATGCTTAGAAAACGGAATAAGACTTCGGCGCGTTACATTTGGGCGCTTATCAGCTGTTGATATCGATTGCTTTCGGCGTGAGTTGAACCTATTGCTGTGTGCCTACGGTCCTTGCACAAGGTCGCGAGCTCGGCGTACTCGACCCCTAGTCACTTGCGCCTTCCTGCGTCTCCACGCTGGGCCCACTATTTCTATTTCTCTGCCCCTTAAGTGACGACGTTCACGACGTCCTCGTCCTCTGCGCGCGAGGACGAGCACGTCCTGCAGTCACGACGTCGTGCGATTTCGCCGCGCGGCTGTGATAAGAGATAGGCGCGCGACGAAACGCGGCCGAAACGACACGTGCTGGGTACATGCGATGTTTCGAACGTCGCGACCCTCATGACGGGGGGATTACTACGGGCCCTGCTGACGTCATGCAATCCCCGCCTCTGCCCGCAGGGCAGATAATGCAATTTGGCGTTGTGCAGGTGCGATCGTAGATGCGATTGCGGACCAAAATACCTTTTAGGTTATTTGGGGGTATCTCCACCATTGCAACAGAGTTTTCTAACCCGCATCTCCTCAGACACTGCGTTAAGGCAATGCTAACTTCATCAGAGATATAGGGAACGCTGAAGGGGTTCTTATCAGTTATATTAGGTCTATCTACTTGAGCATCATGTGTACGCCGCCTTGCCCTTCCAGCATGATACTCATAGGCGTTAGAAGCCGCTATCCTACGAGCCAGCGCAAGAGATTCTGCCCTTTTCTGCTGTCCGCTGCAAACGCGAGAGGCTGTACGAAACATACTTTTTATTACAGCTCTCTTCATATGTGAGGGATGAGCTGAGCGGAAGTGCACCAAAACGTTTTTGTTACTGGGTTTCCGGTACCATTTTGTTACGTGTACACCTGAGGCGATAATGACCTGCACGTTCAAAAATGGTAGCCATTGCTCGCTGGGCTTTTCCCTCGTGAGCTTGATGTATGCAGATTGCTCGTTAAGTATCTTGAAACAACCATCAATACCTGCGTCGAACAGATTATGAAACAGTCGTCAATGTATCTGCAATATAGCAACGGACAGCATTTTAAGACTGGAGCCTCGATCTTGGCCATGAAGGCCACCGCAAGTGTAGGAGCTAATCTTTGTCCCATGGCTAATCCTCTAATCTGCGCAAAGTACCTCCCAGACCATCTAAAGATATTCATTGTAAACACGCCTTCGAAAGTGTCATGAGCTGCGGAACTGAAAGCCGTAGAGGTTGACATTATTTACGTTAACGGTAAGAAGCTCCGAGATAGCTTGGATGGCGCACGCATTGCTCACATTGGTGTAAAACGCGCTGACATCAGAAGATTCCATGACACAATTGCGGTCGATGCTTGTCTCGCGCAAACAGTCCAAAAACATGTTAGTGTTGGCCAGGTGAGAAGGGATGAACTTGAGCAGTTGCGCGAGTATAGAGTTAACAAACCACCCAATCCTATCCGTAGGGCCTCCCACGCAGCTAATTATGGGTCGCACTTTGTAAGTGGAAGGATCAGTGGAGGCCAGATCGATTTCCGACTGGAGCTTGTGCGTCTTAATCAGAAGATATAGTACAGGGCAGACAGAGAGCTCGATTTTTAGGCGCGCGATAGTTTCTTGCGATAGATTGGCGGCTTTCGCTATTTTGATCCATTCCCTATTTAACCTGCGATACTGTTTTTGGAACTCCTCGAGTGACGATGGTCGATATAGCGACACGTTTAGAGTCCCTGTACGTGTGACGGATCGCCTGTTGTATGTGCGTGTATTGCTCGACCTTCCTTGCTAAAGTGTGTTTTTTTACATTAGCTAGCTTATACCTCCACTGTAGGAAAACGTCATAAAAAGCTTTTTGAATTTTCAAGCACAGCACTGGACTCAGCGCAGCCATAAGGCCATGTGGTGTGGAGAGCTTGCAGTCGGAAATTTCCAGAGCCACTGCCTTTAACATCACAAATCACTCAACCTCTTAACCGCAGAACGTGGTTACGAACTGATAGTGTAAGAACCACTTTATCAGTCAAAAAAGTTAGACGTTCGTCATACTTTTATGTTCGCACAAATGCACTTTTTGATACACTCTTTGATTCAACGGGATTGGCGGCTGGAAGGCGGGGCTTCAAGGCCTAATCAAGGTTAGAGAATGATTGGGGCTGAAGAGAGAGACACAGACAGCGTTGCGGGCGCAAGCGGTCGCTTTCCAACCGCCAAGCCTGTTGAATTGAAGTCATTTCACTGCTAACAAGGAAACGATATTTGGTGTTCTGGCCTTTTGACATGAGATGTATACCATTTCACTTCTCTTGGAGCGCTGATTCTGAATCTAACTTCCGTTTTTGCTAATCTTTCTCTGAAAAAAGTTATGAAGGATTTTCGCGCCAAAGGAGATACCGTCGAAATGCCAAAACTGCCGTTGAAAGCAGTGTCCGGGCAAAAAGTCGATTGTGAGATTTAGTGCTTACCCGGGCCTATCCGCTATGCTGAATCCGAAAATCCACATTGGAGAGCGCGAAAACGACGAAAAAGGGCTCTAACACTGGAGGGAAATCAGCAAGTGGGCGGGGTCTTCCCCACTGTGAATTCACGCTCCCAACTTCGGGGACGATCTTTTTGATTCCGGTTTCAAGTCATTCGTTTGCACTTGATCGGTAGTGATGTTCAGCATAGCAAATAGGCCCGGGTAAACACAAAATCTCAAAATCGAGTTCTTGCCCGGACACTGTCTTTAAAGGCAGTGTCCGGGCAAAAACTCGATTTTGAGATTTTGTGCTTATATGGGCCTATTCGCCATGCTGAATCCGAAAATGCACATTGGAAAGCGCGAAAACGGCGAAAAAGGGCTCTAACACAGGGGGGAAATCAGCAGGTGGGCGGGGCTTTCCCCAGTGCGATGTCACGCTCCCAGTTCCCGGAGCGATTTTCTCGATTCCGCTAGCCGTCCCAACATCGCTACCGGTCAAGTGCAAATGATTGACTTGAAACCGGAAGCGAGAAGAACGCTCCGGGAGCCGGGAACGTGAATTCGCAGTGGGGAGGACCTCGCCCACCTGCTCATTTCCCTCTTGTGTTAGAGGCGTTTTCCGCCATTTTCGCGCTCTACAATGTGCATTTTCGGATTCAGCATAGCGAATAGGCCCAAGTAAGCACAAAATCTTAAAATCGAGTTTTTGCCCGGACACTGCCTTTAAGATGTGGTGTAGTGGCTAGTGCGATAGCCTCGCAAGTTGATGCTTTAGGTTCGAGTCCTTCTACGTTTTTCAGTGCATTGCCTCATTCAAGCTTCTTTTTGGAAGTTAGGCATCTCGACCGCATTTCTCTTAGGCGACCATTGAAAATCCTTCATAACTTCTTTTAGTAAAACGATTAGCAGACTCAGACTCGGAATCAGCGTCCCAAGACGAATGTGACGATGTATGTTTCATCTCAAAAGGCCACGGATATCAAGTATCGTTCTTGTAAGTGTATGATTTCACCTGTTGATTTAATTGTTCATGAAAGCGTGGAACATATGTGGTTACCATCAGTGTTGTGAATTATCGACAATGTATTCTCGCATCACGACATGAAAATGGAATTCAGCGAACAATTCTCATATTTTTTCCCGTCTTTTAGGCCAGGCAACAGAAGGGAAGTACTGTCCACAGAAATCACAATTTACGCATAGTGAATGCTGGGTTTGAGAAGCCTTGCTCTCACATATTGTGAGCAAAACTTGTGTAATTTCATCGCATTCTACCTTGTCCGTTTAATCTGTTTTTGGGTTACATGCGACTTCATGGTGCTGTTTGGGTATCGGTGGTGGAGACAACAGCCTTTTCACGGTCACCGTTGATGGCAAGGTTTTCCAGTTACAGGCGAACTTATCTCGACTGAGGTGATACTTTACTTGATTTCTTGCTTGTAATGAGTGATTTCTGTTTGCGACTTCGTTTACGAAGGCAGCTACTGTCCAGTTACCCATGTTAAATTTATTTATCCTGTCATATAATTTCTAGCCAAGGTTCTGCTCACTCTTTCTTTATACGGTTGTCATGCCGACGATCTGTTGTTTTCGTGGTTGTTATTTACTGTTTGCGGTTTCCCGACATGGTTTAGGCCTCGGACACAGTTCACGCGATTTCATGGCACCGCGATTTTCGAAAAGGACAGCTGTTACGAGTATTGCATGACAATCAACTTGCATTTCTGTTGTAATAGATTTTCGACACGCCAATCCTGGCTAATTATCACAACCGAAATGCAATCTGATTGGCATGCAATGATTTTGTGACAGTTGCCGTTTCGCAATGAGATCGCGGTGCGAAAACGCATGAACTTGGTCCGAGGCCTTATTGGCCTCACGCAACTTGGAACTTAAAGGATTACATTGTGAATGTTTTCGCAGTATCTTGCTCATATTTGGTGGCCGACATGCTCGGTTGATTTGATACTCCTGCTTTGCTTATGATCCGCCTACTTCTCCAAAGTTTTTGATAGAAGCGAAGTGACTGCACCCGAGGTTACATCGATAATCAAGTGCACGACTATGTGGTGCTTCAGTGACATCTGCCGAATAGGAGTGGGAAAACCCTCAGAGCTCTCCTGTATTTGCTGAATTATGATCCTTCAGTTTCTTAGTACCGAGATAATCAAAACCTTGAAAAAGAAGATGTTAGAATGCAATCAGCGTTGGGACCGATGGCTGCGCATGATGCTGACAGACGGCTTAGCAATGGACCTTCGAGGCCGGCTAAGCTACATCAATTTCGACAAATGTTGATGATTGGTACATTGTTCTCAAACACAGTGTGTTCCTACGATGTGGCATCGCGAGTGAGCCCACTGTCGATCATATATTGCTTGTTTATGCTTTCTAAATGGGCTAATTATGCAATGTTTACAAGAACTATTTCCGGCGTCTGTAGTCTTGAATTCTCTGCAACCTGAATCTCTTATTCGATTTACAGAAAGTCCGGAGAGAGTTTTGGGAGGAGATGATACTTGCGTTGATTATGTTTGCTTCTTTTGAGCTGGGGCCTTTGTGCAGTGCATTATTCTTATCTCAGGTACAGAGCGGGTACTAGTGTGCGGACATGCTCAATAGCGGCTGTTTATAGAAAGGCTCTGAGGCCTTGTAATGCAGCGCGACGATAAAAGACGATTGGAAAAATCATACGTACATAATGTCTATGGGCATTGGTCGTTACCAACAAATTTCATCACGAACCATTCGTAACGGTTGTTCACTGCAGATTGGTCTGACATTGTTCTTCCGGTGGCATAAGATTGAATTTTCTGTACTCAGTGGACAGTTGTTATGATGATGCTTTTCTCCATCAATCTTCTAATCAACAAGCTTATGTAAAAGTGCCAAATTCAGCAAAGTGGTTCATGGATGATTGTATAGGGCATAAATCATGACGAGGCGAAACCTGCGCGACACGACGACTCTTCCGGCTACCGCATTTAACTCGCTTTTATCTTTACTAAAATGGTTTTTTTGCTTATGTATGGTACTATCTAAACACTTGAAATGACTGAGCTGAGCGTTGAAGCGATAGCTTTTCTATTATTCCTTTATGCACCTGTTAGCGCAAAACCGCGTTATGTCCATCATCATGATTAAAAAATGACTCATGCAAAGATAGTAAATGAAGTCTTGAACGGTATTAAGGTGATCGAGCTGTACGCATGGGAAATACTTATGGATAAGTCATCATTGAGTCACGTGAAAAGGAGCTGAGGTTTATTTGTGGAGTATTTTGCTATGAATACCCTCGGATATGTTCAACTCAGCTTCTCCATTTCGATTGCTTTATTCACCTGTAGTATTCATCATATTGGTCAGAAAAATGTTCTAACCGCTGAGATCGCCCTTGTTTTCCTTATATTGTTCAGCCCGCTCCGAGGCAGTACAGATGTTGTATTCAATCGAGGGCTTAGCGGGTTCTCATATTTAAGAACTATCGCCTGTGTATCGATAGTGCTGTCAGAGAGAACAATAAAGTTATCAGGATCCTGACTCAGCCTTGGTTTGGAATAAAGCTGAACAGCAAACAGCGCTCAGCATTCCCAATCCTACGGTAAAAAAAAGTCGCAACTTGTTATTACTGCTTTTGGATTGGTCATGGAAGGGGGTCTCTGCTGGGCACTATTGGGAGAGATGGACAGAGTACAAGATTATTGGTCTCACTGGCTGCATGTCGTACGTTCCGCAGCCGTGGATGCAAAATCGAATCGTTACCTCTGGGAAAAGATGTGAGTACTTCTCAATCGTGCGCTGGATGTTTGTGCACTTTACTCAGATCTTCAGATGCTGCCGATGGAACATGCGGAAATTAACCTTGTCGAAAGACTGGGTTGATTTTCTCCTAATAAAGGGCACGATTATCTTTAGCTCTTACTGTTTATCAAAACTATGATGTTTATCTCGATGACTTGATGGCGCCGTAGATTTGCATGTCTGTACTCAACTCTTTTCTCGGTTATAGGACCAGATGAGATGTTGGGAAACATAGTCAGAGTATGTACGAACGATCTAGCTCCCAGATTCTGATCTCGCTATCATCAAGAAGAATGGAATTGAGCTTCTTCGCGGTAAAGAATTCTTTAGGCAAATCTGTTTTGAGTCTCTAGCTTTTGCTTTGCTTTTGAATTCCCTTCAATGCAGGTAATGTCACAAAACCAGTGTGCGCTGTGCTGCGTCTTGCGACGGCCGTTTTCCAACAATTTTTGAGTTTCTACAGGAACTATCAGACATTTGATGGATTAATGAATTCGCTGCAAAATGCGGTAAGCAATCAACAGACGGTCAACATCAGTGATCAACAGGACAATTCAGGCAAGCAACTGCTTTACTTGGCAATCGTCCATTCTCTTGATGAATTTTGGCGTAAATTTTGTGGGACTACGACTGTTTTTTGTCGCTTATGCAACTCTGATACGAAAGCTATCGAACAAAGAGTGAGTATATAGGTTCCAAATCTTTCTGCCTGAACTATCCTTAGGTAGTCCAAGATGCTGAGAAATCGTTGTTTGATTCGCTTGCACGCAGCCGACTTAACTACATCTAATTATTGATAAAGGGGAGGACCAAGGTAGATATGTTGTCGAATGTCGGTTACTCACAATAGCTGTAACTCTCAAAGAGGATTGAAGACAAGTATTCCTTATTTATAACTTCTCTCGTCATCACTCATAATTTGTCATCTTAGTACGTCGCAGTACAGAAATGCTTGCTGAATTTGATGTGCCGTAGAAAATGTTGTAAGCTGCACAGCAAGTTTAGATTTCTATTGGGGTGTCGCCACAGAGTTTTTCATTTCCCACGCAACGGGGATGTTGCTATTGCTCTGATTGCATTATTGGCACATTGGTGAGAGCTACGGGCCGTTGTGATGCTTTGCTTTTTCCACGCGCAATAGAGCCACTAAACACTTCCACATGTTAGGTTCATTGAAATTGGAAGGATTGGTGGAGTGACCGAGGTCATATCGTTCATTGCGAGTTATGCTATTGCGAAAGGATAACTGCGAGATGCCCGCAGCAATTAAGTTCTATTTGAAATGACTTTGGCCGTTCTCGTCGAGCACAGGTGCGATAAGGTGAGAATGATCCCTCCGGGGTGAATGGGTCACAGCGGTCGCAGCCCTTCCGGGTAAAGGGGTGTTTCAGTTGATCAAGAAACTATACGGAATACTTTGCAAACATGCACATCGCTCGTATCTTATGTTCAGCTGTGGACTACTGAGTACCTGATTAAAATGGAGCTTTGTTTTTTAAGCATTTACGAATTTTCTAAAAGAAGAAATTCATACATCTGTAGATGAACAGCAACGTCAGCAAGGGAGATGTTTTTGAAATCAACTTGAATATATAGTTTGCCTGGAGTCTGTTGAAAAAAGTGCCTGGTGAAGAGTGTGGTTAGTGATTTCTGGATATTTTCGAGATTTTAGGATAGAAAAATCCGTAACTTCTGAAGATGAACATACTATACACCGAATAGTCACCACTGAAACTGCCTCGTCCTCCGCTTTTAGAAGATATATATAATGCTTGGAGTCCGTTAAAAAAAGTGCCTGGGAGAAGGGTGTCCTAGTGATTTGTGGAGATTCTCGAGTTTTTAACATAAAAAATTCATTTCATAACTTTTGTAAATGAATTCTTGTACACCGCGATAATCATTATTGGGACCGTCTCGTTCTCCGCTTTCAGAAAATATCTACTTTGCCTGGAGTCCGTTAGAAAAAGTGCCGGGTGAAGGGTGGTGAGACTTTTTTAATGGGAGTGCTCAAGTACAGGCTTTTTTACCATTATATTATATAAAGACGTCTACTTGAGCATTCCCATTATAAAAGTCTCACCCACCCTTCACCCAGCACTTTCAAAGGACCCACTCAGACAGCGGATAGGACCCCTCCGCCGGAGAAATGGCAGGGTCGCGGCGTTTCCCCAGCGGTGGGTCTCCTATTTGTCCGGCGGAGCCCTCCCATTTGTCCGGCGGAGCCCTCCCATTTCTCCGGCGGATACCTCCCATTTTCTGCTCCGGATACCTCCCATTTTCTGCTCCGGAGCCCCCCGATTTTGTGCGCCGGAGCCCCCCGATTTTGTGCTCCGCAAGTCTGCCGCGGCATACTGTAATTACCCCTAATTAAAGGCAGCTTCCAGGCAGATCTGGACCTATGGGGCTTTTACATGGAAAGTACTTTTGGGGCCCTAACTAAGGCACTGCCGAAGCAGCAGCTCATGTAGTGCTCTAATGGCGGAGATATTCCCCTCGAAACAGACCCCCGCGAACGTATTCGCATGGATTCATGGCAGTTTCGCGCCAGGATCCACGCTTTGCGCCATGAATCCATGCGAAACACGGTCGCTGGGTCCAGTTTCGAGCAGAATATCTCAGGCGTTAGAGCACTACTTGAGCTGCCGGTTGGGTAGTGGCTTAGTTAGGGCCCCAAAAATACTTTCCATGTAAAATCCCCATAGGTCCAGACTTGCCTGGACGCTGTCTTTAAGCTCCAAACCCCAATTTTGTCTCTAAACCCCACCCAAATAAGCCGAATGGGACCCCCCCCCCTGGGTAGGAGTTTAGCGCGACCCTCACCCCGTACTCTACCCCCTCCCTCTCACCCCTAGCGTTTGTGGATAGAAGATAGAAGAAAGAACGAAGAGATAAGACATTTATTTCAAATTTTTCAAACTTTCGATGCTTCATGATCTCTTCGAAACATGCTTGATATTCACTTTCTAACATTCCCTTTTCCGAATCTTCACTGGGATCTCGTAGCCGAACATTGATTCCAGCGAAAACATGCATTACATCGTTGCCCAAACTATCAGCGATCGAACAGTCAGCACCTCTGCAGAATACCATTAATGGTGAAATTGCACAAGAACGAGGCAGATATAACTGAAGGCAATACACTCATCAGTCCTCTCTGTCTTTGAGAAATTACGAAATTCTTTTGGAGAAAAATAGATGAAGTGAAAAACAATCCAACCATTTTGAGCTAAATGATGACATGTGATGTACTGATTCATGATTCAATTCTGGTTTTGTTATATCAAAAAGATTTCAAACCTAAACCTATTCTTTAAGTTTGTCCAGCTTTTGTTTCACATTATTTTCGCATCATTGAAATCTAATACTTACGATGACGGCAGCAAAAAATCATACCACGATGAGTTTGATTAATCTCGTAAGTGAAGCGTACGCGATAATTTTTGTTACGCCTTTTCAAATAATGCTTTTCCACTACAACAAAATTATTTATGAGCTTCAGAGATCTGCGTGTACGACATGTTCTTCTTTTGTGTCGACCTAATTTTATGCGCTAAGGATTCGCATCTGGCCCTGATTATGAAACTGAATCTCTACCTGGACAGTAAGTATTGCATCTGCTCAAGAAGTTCGCTTTGCGCATCTTCGTCAGTATAACGCAGTAATGATGACAACAGCGTCACACCTTCCATATCCTTCCCATTAATAACCACATATTCGGACATCTCGTCCAGAAGCCATTGCACAATTCCATAATGGCCTATACTAATAAGGCTACACTTGGACTATATTTGGTTTCTCCAGCTCAATACCTTTAAGGTAAGCAATGGATAGTGGTGTTAGCTTCCAATCATTATCTTGCTTGAGGCAGCTCGGATCAACACTAGTCAGAAGCTTTAGACATTCTAGCCAACCGTAAGCAGCAGCATAGTGTGCAGGTGTGTTGTTGGAAGAATCACCCTAGAACATGGCGTTACTAGCAATTCCAATTCGAATATGTATTTGATACCTTGAGAAAGTCAGCTCCTTTTGCCAGTAACATAGCCGCGCAATGTTCTTGTCCGTTAATGATAGCATGCGATAAAGCTGTACGTTTCTTGTGATCTTTTGCCATGATGAGAGCACCATGGGCGATTAGGATTTCAGCGATTTCGAGGTTCCCAAGAGAACGAGCTATCTGTAATTGTCAACTCTGAAAAGTGGCTAACTTTGATTAGTGTTCCATTATCAAAATGCGATCCGTACAGCATCTGGACAAGCTCTATTTCCAGAAAAAGCAATATCAAAAGTAGAAAAAATAGATAGAATGATATTTCAAATAGGTAAGTGCTACCACAAGTACAAAAATATTGTCAGAATTAACGAGAACGTGAAGTCAGCATCCACGCAAATCCGATGCCATCTTCCCTACGACTTGAAGGATTGAACTAAAACATCCAAGCGCCAGCTTTTTTGATCTTTCGTGGCCATTTGAACTTGCGGGTCCTTCAGCAAAAGCACTGGCCACATCCAGCGAACCCATCCTTGCGGCTACGACCACCATGCCGTCCATGAAGTTCACATTAAGATTGACGGCTTAACAGGGATATTCAAGACCCAAAAAGGACGGGTGATGATATTGAACCAGAAAAAAAGAATAAATGGTTGATGCACTCACCAGATGAGATATTTGGTTCCTTAGACACCTTGACTAAATCTTTATAACTCATTTCATTCATTACGAGATCTTTTCCTGACTCCCACTCAGTCTGCGACTCAAAGTTCAAAAACGCATTATTTCCCTCTCGGCCACCTAGAAAATTCGGAATTGTAGACATTAACATTCATTGTGATAAGATACCTCGCGTCATCTCCACTGCTCTAGTTGCACGACCCAACATATAAAAATTGGACTGTCCAGTGGTTTTCTGAAACATTAAGTTGAATAGTTCTGTCTTTAACTTGTAGAATGAGCTCACCCTTCGAAGGAGATTTGGTTCTTTTCGTGAGGTTCGTTGTCACACAAAAGAGCACAACCATCTGGTGTTTTATCTTGCGCGTACGAAAATTTCAAAGAACATGAGGATGCGTCGATGTATCTGAAAACATCTGACTGATCAAGTCTTAAAAATCAAGACTTTCGGAAACTAGCAGCCTTACGAGACTTGTGTCCACTGGTAGCTAACAATGCTGCCATCGTCCTTAGCATTGCCATTAAGAACCATGGAAGATTCGGGAAGTGTATGATTACCGCCAGCATCAGCAACTAAAATTGTGATTTCATAAGACCAGAACTCAATTTCACACGGTAACACAGCAGCATGGAGCCATTGAAGAAGAACAGAGAATAATTGAATTCAAAAAAACATAACATAAAAGTGCGACATTCAAGAAACAACTCGCCTGGAGGCAGATTTTGAGCTTAAGCTGACACTGAAGGTGATTGAGTGCAACCGCACGAAAATTTGAAACATAAACCTGAAAACGAGGAACTTACAACATCATAAACGCCAACGCGACGAAGAGCAACGCGGAAAAGAAAAAAATGGTAAAGAAACGCGGAAAAACAACAAAAACAAAGAAACGACGACTAAAACATGGAGAAAGAGCGTAAACAGAGGACTCATCACCGTGGAGTTAGACGTTTGCTTGCTACGCGCCAAATCGATACGCAGCCTGCTCCGGGGCCCTCCCATTTCTGCTCCGGATACCTCCCATTTTCTGCTCCGGATACCTCCCATCTTCTGCTCCGGATACCTCCCATTTTCTGCTCCGGAGGCCTCCCATTTCTGCTCCGGACCCCTCCCATTTTCTCCGGCGCGACTCTTCCAAATTTGGCGGACTCGCGCCGGGCAAATTTCTCCGGCGCGGAGTCCGCCAAATCTGGCAGAGTCGCGCCGGAAAAATGGCGGACCTTTGCAGCAGGGCCGGAGAAGCCTCCCACTTGCCTGCCAGTGATGTCACCGCGATGGACCGCCCATTTGCCCCTCTCTCATTGGTCAACTGGGTCCGGCGCGACTCTGGCAGTTTCGGACTGTCCGGCGGAGGGGTCCCGTCGATTGTCTGAGCAGGCGAGGTATATATTTTCTGAAAGCGGAGAACGAGACGGTTCCAATAATGATTATCTCGATGTACAAGATGTTCATCTACAAAAGTTATGAATTTTTTTACGTCAAAAACTCGAAAATCTCCAAAAATTGCTAGGACACCCTTCACCCAAGCACTTTTTTTGATGGATCTTATACATGCTGTATATTTTCTAAAAGCGGAGGACGACATGGTTCCAATGGTGACCACCACAGCGTACAATATGTTCATCTTCAGAAGTTACGGATTTTTCTATCCTAATCCAATTCGATATCACGCATTGGCGGCGAGCGGTCGTGTTCTCATTTGCTCTCTACAATGGTTTCACAGCGTTGTACTGCGAAGAAAGCTAGGGAAGCTGGTGCTGGTATTATTGTGGATTCTACAGCCTCTTCTTCTGATATTCTTAGTCAGTCGCTGCCGCAAGCCGAGGGAGAAGGTAAGTTGATATCTCAGCTTCATTCTATCTTAGCAGGCAAGGCTCCAGAGGCCTTGCCGCTGCTGGATCGATTGATCCAGTTGATCAGGCCGGCCCCCGGTGATCTCATCGAGCAAGACAAAAGGTCTCGGTCAATAGTAATTTCAGGAGTGCCGGAATTGAATGACGCTCTCGCGTCTCAACGTCAGGCACATACTGAAAGCTCAGTGATGTCCATTTTAGATAAAATGGACATTGAAACTAGACCACTAGAGATCTATAGGATGGGGAGACCGGGGGGCAGCAGGCCACGCCTGATCAAGTGTGTCTTTCCTTCGCAGCAGTTCTTCTACAGTGCCCTCAAAAAAGCACCACTGCTGCGCAGCTTGCCCGGTTGTGATCAGATCTACATTCGCAGGTCTATGACCCGCGAGGAAAGAGATCACGACCGGGCCCTGCGTCAGCAAGCGCGGGAGCTGAATAGCAAAGAGCACGGTGGGAGCAAGGTATTCGTAGTTTATAGAGGCGAAGTTGTGAAGGCCTCAGACATTCCCAGCATCAAAGCAAGCCTGCAAAAAAACTGATTACGTGCTCAGACTCCTCCTCGGTTACTTGTCTTTTACTAAATGCTAGAAGTTTAATGAACAAACTTGTTGATTTTCATCATCTACTCCATACTCAGAAACCGGCTATGGTTTTTGTGACAGAATCATGGTTTAGTAGTGTTATTAATGATGCAGAGATTTTGAGCGATCTTCCGTACAATATTTTGCGCAATGATCGCAAAAAAAAAGAGGAGGAGGGGTATGTGTATTGATCCGATATGATCTCGTTTTTCGTACTATCGAGCAGAGGCTCTTTGGGCCAACGAACCTGAGTGCTTTTGACCTTATCTTTGGCGCCGATAACTTTACCAGATTCGTACTGCTCTACCGGCCACCCAGTCAAACGTCTGTTTTTGATGAACAACTTATTGGCATTTTGGAAAACTTAGCCACGTCTACTCGAAATATCATTTTTCTTGGCGATTTCAATCTAAATGATGTTGACTGGACAGAAATGAAAGCAATCTCATCATCCTCCTCCGCTCGCTTTGTTTCGCTTTTTGAATGTCTGGGGCTTCCACAGCTGGTTAAAGCTCCCACAAGGGGAACCTCTATTCTAGATCTTATATTTGCTAAGAGTGAGACTGTTACTGAGACTTACTGTTACTTCAAATATATTTCCCCTTGGCAAGTTCTGATCATAATATAGTGTCTTTCAATATAGCCTTGTCCACTGGTCATGATGATATACCTGACAGGGGAAGGATACTTGGATGCCGTAGGCATTCATAATGATTTGAATACCAAAAAATGCGCTTTTGAATGCTGGTTCGTAAACTGTCTTTCATATCTGCGAAACGATAATCTGAATGGAGTTATGATTTTTTTCATTAAAAAAAGTTGCGTTTCTGCGGAGGGTCAAATCATCAATAAAAAAACTTTCTTGCCTTTCCAAATGCTGAGTATGATCCAGATAGTCTAAATAAATATTACTACGTCTAAAATTTTCTTCAGCAGCATCGAACGGTAGGCTAGATCAAATCTGGTGATTTTTACTATACAAAAGTAGGCTAAATTTTCAAGGAAAAAAGTTCATAACTTTCTTCAAAAGATCGTTTCGCAGATTTCGAGCACAGATTCAGAATCTGCATTCGAAGGCGCATTTTTTGGTATACAAATCATTAGGAGGCCGCGGCATCCAACTATCCTTCCCTTGTGAGCATTCGTCTATACGCGACTACTCTAAAGCTGACTTGAGATCCATAAAAGATGCATTGTCAAATATTGATTGGTTGAGCGTGTTTGATGGATACTCCAACATTGATGATCTTTACAATCGCTTTCTCAATATAATCCACGACTTGATTGAAAAATACGTTCCCATAAAGAAAAGACAACCTTCCTTTTTACGTTATCCTCAGCATATAAAAAATCTTTGGATGCAGAGAATTAGACTGTTTTTGAGCCTTAATGATCCCCTAAACAGTACAGAGTACAAAATTGTCTCTAAGGAGTTATCAAGGCATTTGAGGCGTTACTTGAAACAGAAGGAAAAGAGAATGTTCAGAAATACTGGCAAATGTAAACTTTGGGCCTATCTGAAAAAACATTTGAAAAAAAAACAAATTCTTTGGTCCTTTGGAAGACTCTAATGGCAATGTATACAATACTTCCATCTCCAAAGCTGAAGTTTTGGCAAGTTTTCCTCCGTGTTCTCAGAACCTTCTGCATCATTTCCCATATTGATTAACAGATCCTTGGGTTGTTGCCCTTTACCAAGGATAGACCCTTCGTCCATACGGAAACTTTTGAAAAAAGTAAGCCCAACGTTGTCTATCACATCTGACAACATACCTCCTATCTTTTACAAGATGTTTGCTGACGAACTAGTGCCTCCATTAACCCACATCTATAATATATCCTTGATGAATGCAGAAGTGCCTCACTTCTGGAAATCCGCCATTGTTACTCCTCTCCCCAAGACATCTCTCAATCCCAAGCTCTCTGACTATAGACCAATAAGTATACTCCCTACTCCTTGCAAAATATTAGAAAAAATAATTGTTAGAAATTTGTTGCATTGGCTTGAATAAATTAAATTGTCTGCCTGAGCAACAACATGGATTTTTGCAAGGCCGATCTACCGGTACACAACTTCTTGACGTCCAATTTGACTGGACAGAAGGATTGAGTCTGAATAAGTCTATAGATGTAGTCTATTTTGACCTGAGTAAAGCATTCGACACAGTTGATCACAATCTTCTTTTGTCTAAGCTGGAGAGCTTGGGAGTGAGAGGTTCACTGCTGAGATGGTTCGCATCCTATCTTCAGGACAGAACCTTCTCTGTTCGTGTACTTGACAGAATTTCTGCGGCTAGACCTTGTAAGTCTGGAGTCCTCAAGGCAGTATTCTGTCACTGATTCTCTTTATTATTTATACCATTGACCTGCCAGCTTGTCTTATCACAGATCCACGAGTTAGAGTGGCTGCGTACGCTGATGATGTTAAAATATATATCGTCTATGACCAGCGCGACAAGGGGAATGCTCATGCAGCACTTCGTAGCTCAATTTCTCGAATGATTGATTGGGCAGATAGATGGAACATCAAAGTAAATTACTCCAAAAGTTGTACTGTTCCCATTGGCAGAACTCCGTCCCACTCAATTGATAGCAGCTTTGATCTCGAGTGTAAATTCCTGGTCAAAGACCTGGGAGTTCTCACAGATTCTAGACTTAGATACTCGTGTCAAATAGACGAAATTGCTTCTCGAGGAACTCGAATATTGTATGCGATAATGCGCAGTGTGCAATCTTCAGATCCTAAACTTCTTTTGAAAATCTATAAAAC